ATATATATGCATATATATATATGCATATATATATATGCATATATATATATGCATATATATATATGCATATATATGCATATATATGAGGGGCATCATTAAATGCAACATCTCTGACAACAAAATAGAAGCTGAATTATTTGCTTTTGCAGAAATTGCTTTTCACCATTACAGGAATAATTTGAAGCAACTTCATAGGCAAACCACAGGGCAAACCGCAGACATATCGCTCACACACATACAGTATGTGCACACACAGCTCATACATTCCAGGTTTTCTCAATTCACTCAGAGAGACAGGTTAAAAGGTTAAAAGTCTACCAGGCTCCCACCTGACTGGCTGATGAAAAAGCAGACATCATCCCGAAAAACAGGAGTGTTCCTGTCCAAGAAGTCACTGGCAAGCTCAACCATGACGGGCAGCTCAGTTAGCTCCTCCAGGACCTGGCGAGTCTAAAAAGTAAAAGAAAAAGCTGTTCACCATTGTTGTGTAAAATAAAGCTGTCAAACATATGTGCTAACATACAGTATAACTTCACACACCTGTGGCTACACTACATAGTTTCCTACTTGCTTGAAACAACATAAAATTAACAAGCAGACAACCACAAGCACAAGTTGCAGGAAAAAAAGAAAAGAACTCTGCTACTCCAGCATGGTAGCTGGTGCCACAGGCAATTAGAATGAGTCGCCGACACCTCTGGATCTCTTTGATGTGGTCCTTTAATCCACCCAGTATCACTGCAAAGCAAACAGATTAATCATTACTCCATCTTGTTAAAAATGCCAACAATAAGTTAGTGAGGCATTGAGAGAAATCTGACAATGACAGCCAACATGTGACTTTCCATGTGTGCTACAAAAACTCAATAAGGTTTTCTCATCCTGGAGTATTACTTGTGTGCTCTGAAGGACAATAGAAGACAAAATAAATGCTTTTCAGTTGTGGAAACAATATATTTAAATGCACCCTGTGTTGTTATCAAACTAGCCACTAGGGTACACGAATCAGTGTTTTATAGTGCCAGTCCCAAGTCCGGATAAATGGTGAGGGTTGCGTCAGGAAGGGCATCTGGCGTAAAACTTGTAGCCAGATCTAATATGCAAATCACTAAAACAAATTTCATACCGGATCAGTCGAGGCCCGGGTTAACAACGACCGCCAACAGTGCCGTTGACCAACAGGGCACTGATGGAAATTGGGCTACTGTTAGTCAAAGACAGAGGAGAAGAGGAGGGCGTTTGGTTAGGAGAAAAAGAGAAAAGGGGAAGAATAGAGTTGGTCTGAAGTTTGGAACTCTGAATGTAGGTACAATGACAGGG